ACTATGGTCTACACTTTCTATTAAAGGGACAGACTCATTTATTCTTCTAAATGCAACTCAAGACATATTACTCCTCCAAATTTAAAAATTTTCTGTAGCTGATAACCGAAATAAGAAAAATTCACGAACCAGAATAATGGCTTTATAAGACCCCAAACGAAAATTCCCCATAATACTAATAGCTTGATATAATCAAGAACAGGCTTAGTTAGCATTGCAATTTTGCGAAATGTGAACTTGTTTAATTCTGGAAGTTCAACCTTGAAACTTTGCACACAAAAGAGACGTATTCAAAGTTAACGAAATATTTAATCCATGGACCATAGTTTGGTCTTGAAGCACGCCAAATGACGAACTTACTTCTTTAGCTAACAAAGATCAAACAAACAATCGGAGTACAACTAGTCATGTATGTGATATTCATCAGAAACAGTTGCATTTAAAGTGGGACTGAAATTCATAAGTGCAAGTTGGCAAACTCACTTGTGGTCTGGGATCCCCTTCAACGCGGCATTCCAGGATCAACGTTTCGCCCTGAACCAAGTCAATGGTGTTCTCTTTATCCTTATCGAGGAAGCGTGGCTTAGCTACAAGCAGAGCATGATACATTTAGCATTAGTGATGAACCAAGGAAGGGTCTGGCCAAAAAGCCGATAAATGCATGAGACCAAAAAGAGGTAATCAAAAGAGAAAAATACTGATAGGGTAGGAGCTTACTTTGTACATCGAAATCAACATCAGCCGTAGCCTTCCCGACTACGTTTCGAGCCACGCAGGTGTAACGACCTTCGTCGTCAATCTGACAAAAAAGGAAAGGCATATTAGAAATGCACAAGATGTAGGATTGACAAGAGCTCCAGTAAAGACGCTCGGCACATCAGAAAACAATTTAATGAAGAAGTTGCTTTGGCGGCGAGTAGTCGGATCTCGTCTCAGAATTAGCCTAAAGAGGATATTTCTGGAGCCCGTACTCAGCTTAAGTATGCGTTAAAACCTGAGGACGACTTGAGGCAGACCATAAAATACCCAAAAGCTGAAAAACATTCCTTCATCATAAAACCATCAGGTATCTGCATTTATATCTGCACACAAAAACACAAATAACGGTAGCCTACAGTAACTGTGTCCTGTCTTTCGACAAAAATGCAGTTATCTTTGAATGAGTGACTGGGCTACTTGATCAGATAATGAGTAGTGCGGCAAAATAGAATAGTCAGAGTTTCAATACACTATGACAGGTAGGATAGGTAAAGACCGGACAAAAACTATTGAATCCTCCAAACTCTGAGGCTATAAAGGTATAAAAATTACTTAATATAAAGAAAAAGCTGATTTCAATCAATCTCCTGAGATAACGTTGTAGGAGAGACTTTCATTTTGTATGAAATAGCATGAAGATTAAGAGATTCGTAGATCTATCTAATCGGAAGTCAGTCGTTTGTCTGTTATACTATGTTTCGGTCGACGCAGTCCACGAGACATCCTCTATTGTTTTGTATGAAAGTGGGCTGTGCTTTCATCCATCATATGACAAACATCATCAAAGAGATAGTATTAATTGTTGCAGTCTCAATTTATCACTATGTTAACACTGTGGATCTACCTGATAACACGAAATATTTTTTACATATAGATGTATAAACTAAGGTTCAGTTGAAAATATGAAGACCAAGATGGTGTGATCTCAGTCTTCTTTCGTTGTATAGAAGTTGCTTGACCTTGTTTCCGCAACTTGGTCATATTGGTAAGAAGACTTAGAGAAACACACCTAGTCCGGAGTCCATTGTAAGCATGATCATTTCCAAATTCGGACCGTGGATGTGGTACATTCCCAGACGTATTTAGCATCGTCAGTGAGTCTTGCCACTCTTAGCACCAAAATACAACTCGTCAAAGATACAAGTGAAGCCCACCCTTTGACCAAATATGGGCTAAATAGTTGTGGTATCTCTCCTTCTGTCCTAGGCTATTCACCTTTCCTATATCCTCCTATCACGCCTTCGATATCACAATTGTTTTTTTACTTGCTTATGGTGTGACCTTTTGACCGGATGTCATGACAACTCTCCACACTCCACTCTGGCTTTCTCACCCCTCACCCCCTTCACCCTTGTGCTGGTAATCTTGAACAGAGTTTGATTTATTGTTACGCAGTTCTCCTTCTCTAGATTTTATCAGAGTATCCCTCTTCCGCCGTAAGATCTGTCTGCTATCTCTCTGTTGCCATCCCACCTGTGCTACTCGAGACGTTATTACCCATCCCCTGAGTCTGGGAGGCTAACTTGAGGTTAAAATCCCTGCGTAACTCTCCTGGAAAAGCCTTTGCTTTATGTACCACGTCTATGGTAAAACAGGCCT